TTCACTTGTCTCCCTGCTGCCCTTTGTGACGTTGGAAAGCTCCAAGGGGCAAATGGTAAGGTTGGTCCCATGAGCTCTCAGGCAGAGCAGGTCAGCTTTGGGATATGGCAATAAGACCTGCTGCTCAACCCCAGGGACCCTGGGACCATGACTTAGGAGAGGTGCAATAAATCCAGGCCTTTCTCCCTGTCTCTGGCAGAAAAGAAAGTACAGGTGGGCCTCATTTAATTCATAAATAGACTTTTTCTTGTGGAGTTTATTTTAAGAGTTTGGGGTGGGGGTGGAGGGAGCCTTTGCTTTACAAGTGTGTGCCCTACAGTGATTTGTCGAAGAATCAGAGTCCAAGTTCAACAAAATTCAGACATACCTTTGCATATGCCTACTGCATAAAGAAAAGCCTGCCTGCATCAGCCTCCCTGAATTATATAATATCTCTCTCCAGGAGATTACTGGTCATCCTTCAGGACAGGGGTCAGTACAACATAATTTCTTAAGGCTATTCCTAATCCTGGGAGGGGGAAGAATGACTTTATTAGCCACAGTGCCCTATTATTAGGGGTAGCAGAGCGGTGAGTACTACCATACTCATCCATTTCTTCCTGGGAGGAGGTGGAGGAAGGAAGAAGAGAGATGAAAGAAGAGGAAAGAGGAGAGAAGTGTGAGAGAAAGTAATAGAGGGAAAGGGAGGGGGAGGGAGAGGAAACCCAAGAAGAGGGAAGACAGTGAGATCCACAGCCATTTATTCAGGATCTACCATATACCAAGAATTGGGCATATAATACAAAACCCAAACAGTCCCTTGCCCTCAAAGGAGGGTTTGACTGTTGGGGCAAACAACACAAATATATATATACATATATATATATAATTGTAAATGCAAAATATGTTTGTAATACAATGTTATAACTATATTTATAATACAGAGGTGGAATCATTTATAAATATAAAATATACACAAAGTGTATCTTAGGGAATTTGGTAGGAAAGAGGCACTAGGGGTTGGGAATTTGGAAAGGCCTTATGTTGGTACCTGAGTACAGCTTTTAAGAAGGCTAAGGATCCTTATAGGTGGAGTAGAATGGAGCATGGGAACAGCATATACAAAGGCATGGAGAAGGGAAATGTGTAAGGAACAACCAGAAGACAGTTTTGGCTGAAAGGTAAAGTTCATGAATGGGAGTAATGTGTAATAAGATTGGAAAGGTAGCCCAGAGTCACACTACAAAGGGCTTTCGTTGCCAGGCAGAGGAGTTTGTATGTTATCCTGGAGGCAATAGGAAGCCCCTCCCTGAACATTTGCAGCAGAGTTATGACATGGTCCGATGTGCTTCAGAAACAGCCGTTTGGCGACTGAGTGGAGTTCGGATTAGGGGGCAGGGGTTGTAAAGACAGAAGGCTATTGCAGTAGTCCAGGTGAGGGGTGATGAGGTGATTAGGGCCCTAACAAGGATGGTGGTTGTGTGAATGGAGAGGATTAGTGAATGGAGATGGGATGAACAAGATGTAGAAACTGAAATATTTGACAGCTAAGGAGCTCCTCCTCCTGAACACTTTCTCTTGAGTTTTCAATCGTACAGCTTTCTCTTGGTTCTCTAGCTCCTGCAGCCTGTGCTCCAAAAACGGGGGCAGCCCAAGACTCTGTGCAGGGTCCTCTTCTATCTTTAGCACAGGGTTTCTTAACCTCCTTTGTGACCCTATTGGCAGTCTTGCAAAGCCTATGAATCCCTTCTTAGAATGTTTTAAAATGCACAAAATATATAGGATTACAAAGAATCCCAATTATATTGAAACTCAGTTATCCCAGTTTTTTTTTAAAAAAGTTCACAGACCCCCAGACCAAGAACTATTGCTTTAGGTTATTTCATCAGCTTCTATAGAGTTTAAACATCATTTCCACAAAGATGACCCTCAGATCTATATATCCAGCCCTAGTCTCTCTCCTGAGCTCCAGTCTCTTTATTACCCACTACCTAGTAGACATTTACAACTGGATGTCCCACAAGGATTCAAAGTCATCATGTCTAAGAGAACTCATTTTCCATCTTTCCCTCTTCCTAACATTCTGATTTCTTTCGCAGCTTCAACATTATTCCTGATTCCTCATTCTTGTTCATCCCATACATCCAGTTTATTGTCAGGCCTTGTCAATTCTACCTGTAAAGTATCTCTTACTCCCATTGCCCCTCCCTCCATTCATACGGCCCCTCATCACCTCTTCTCTGGATGATTGCAGTAACCTCCTGATTGGTTTCCTTGCCTAATTGGTCTCCTCTATGGGAGCCTTTCCAACTCATCCTTCACACAGCTTCCAAAGTGACATGTACTTAGAACATTTCTAACCGGGTCACTCCCTTGGTCAATAAACTCCAGTGGCTCCCTATTATTTCTAGGATTTAATACACAAACTTCTCTGCTTGGCATTTAAAGCCTTTTAGTCTATCTCTAATCTACTTTTTCAGGTTTATTAAATTACTCCCCTTTGTACACTGTACAGTGAAGGCACACTGGCCCTGCTGTTCCTGACACATAACTGTCCACTTCTCATCTCCATGCTTTTGCCTAGGCTGTTCCTCATGCCTGGAATTCACTTCCTCCTTAACTCTGTCTCTTAGAATCCCTAATTTTCTTAATATGGTCATCTTAGTGCAATCTTCAGCATAAGGCCTTTCTTCATCCACCCAGCCACCTGTGTTTCTTCCACTAAACTACCTTGTATTTATTTTGTATGTTTTCTCTATCTGCTGATACACGTGTGTGTGTTTTTTCCTCCCAAAGAAGTTCTTTGAGGGAAGGAGCTGTTTTTATCATTGTCTCTGTATCCCCAGCACCTTAGCACATGGTAGACACTTAATAAATGCCTTTTGATTGATGGTTGATTGATGAAGGAGAGTGAAGATTCCAGGATAATTCCATTGTCTGGAAGGATGGTGCTGCTGTTAAGGAAATGAGAGAATTTAGGAAAAGGGATGGTGTTGGGGGAAAAGAAAATGAGTTCTGTTTTGGACAGATTGAGTTTGAGATGTTTATAGGAGTTCAGGAGAAACACTAAACCTGGCTCTATAGATCTGGGCATTATCTAAATAGAGAAAATGAATGAGTCTGTGGGACCAGAAGAGATCACCGAGAGAGGGGATAGAAAGGGCCCAGGGCAGAGTCTTAGAAGGCAGGATGTGAAGAAAGATCTACCAAAAGACATGGAGGAGCAGACTGAAAGAGAGAGAGAGAACCAAGAGAGAGCAGTGTCAGGAAGGCCCAGAGCAGTGAGGGTAGTCAGCAGTATTGGGACCAGAGACGAGAAGGGAAGAGAGGTGGGGAGGGGGATAAGAAAGAAAAAGAGAGAGATGGAAAGAAAAGGAGGAAGGAGAGAATGAAATATAGCTAGATGGGAAGGCCAAACGACTATATGTGGAGCCATGTGGAACACCCTCCAACCCACAGGCTTTATTTGCCTGCCAAACCAGGCCCTCTGTCTTGTGAGTTTCCCAAACCCTGAAACCTTTATCCCCATTTGGAGGTTTCTGAGTCCCAAATGGAATCTGGCTCCTGAAAGAAGTTGCTGAGGCAGCTGTTACCACAGAAACTTCCCACTCACCCTTGGGGCCCTAGTTCCTCTGGGGAAAGCTTGGGCTTGGTTCTAAGGAAAAGGGACATTGGGATTCCCAGGGCAAGATATTTCCTCATAAGCCAGATGCTGGATGTTGGGGGCAAATTCCACTTTGACCCCAGTCCATAAGGAAAAGGGCTTTTTTATTGGATTTCTAAGGGAAGGAAGAAAAAAAAAAGGCTTTGAGAATTGCTGCTTGTCAAGTTCTGAATGCCACAAAAAAAAAAATTAAAGGTAATGAGACAGCTGCTGGGCTATGTCACATTTGCCCAATTCCCCACTTTATGTCTTCTCTCCTCCCTATCCTCCTCTGAATCCCAGAGGATTGACTTCCCAGGGGTCATGGCTCGTTGGCCCAACAGCAAACCATTTGGGCCAATTAGAGATATTAGTCTGGACAAGAGAAAGCCCCCATGTTAAAAGAAGCAGAGGCCCAGGGAGAAGCAGGAAAGGGCTCCTTAACAATCATTGTTCCCAATAAGGCTCCAAAATGGTGAGAGTCTGAGGAATACTAAAGAAAACATTGCCTCCCATTTTCTGCTGGTTTTTCTTTGCCCTTCCTCTGAGGGCCCATTTCTTTTATTAAGTTCCATTTTCCCTGTGGCCAAGGAGAAAAAGCAATCTTAAAAACTCATTTACACTGAGCTGTTGGGGGCTAAATATTTCATTTCTCCCAAGGATAGCTGGGTTTTTAAGAGGAAAAGGACAATGTTTAACCCAAAGGAATGAATCTTTAAAGGTGAAATTTCAGTCATCTCTTCACTCACCCATGGGGACTTAGTCCCACTTACAGGAAGGGGTAAGTGGGATTTATAGTGGTGGTGGTTAGATAGGGTTATCCTCCCTGTGCCTTCTCCACCCTTGGCCAAGATGAGTTCTATGCCTGAGCCAATGTAGACAGGAGGGAAAGAGCAGGGGTAAGATTCCCAAAATTAAATGGCCAGAAACATCCATTCCAGGCCCTCTGAGACTGTTCCCTCCAAGCCAAGAGAATATATCAAAGTATGGTTTTAAAATAAAATAGCATTCAGCTGAAAGGGATGCTGAAAAATTTTCCTTCTTTCAACTCATCAATTAGACAGTTTAAACCAAATAAGACAGATTTACTGAATCCAGCCAGGAGAGAGCAGACCTTGCTGAGCTTAGGACAAGGATGGAGAGCTTTCCTTCAAAGGAGACAAGCCAAGGAAAACAGATTTCTGGTTCAAGAGACAAGTATGTCTCTACATCTGCGTCAATGCCTTATAAGCATCTCCCTCCCAATCATGCCTTTCTTGGTGAACGTGGCCCCCAATCTTGGCCCTTTCCTCCTCACTCCCCCTTATTTCCCCTCCCCCCACTCCACCCTCCCAGACTGGTAGCATGAAAAGAAAGAAAGGATGATACATGGAGGAGGTATGAGATGCAGGAGATGATTATTGTGAACTTTGAACATTTGGGCTGATACAACATATAGGAAGTACCACAGTTATGTCAACGTTGATACAGCTTCCCTCTCAGCTCCTTCAGGATGCTGTAGGGCTGCCCCTACCCTTTTCTAGACTATAGAAATGTGGCTTTTTCAGCATTGTAATGCCCTTTGGGCTGGAGAGGTCACCATTATGTCCAGACGAACACCCAGGGGATAGGACTGACCAAGATACTTCTGGTCTCTCTGGGCTACGGTTTTTCTAATCAAGTGGCACCTAGGAAATCTCTGGGCATCTGGCTTCAGGTGTCACCAGGGTTCTTGGGACCCACATTGGTGTCTTAGGCCCCTCCCAGCACGGTGCCTGCACACGAGGAAACGTTTCTGATCAGTTCCTACACACTAAGAAGCTACACGTGCAGCAGTGGTGTTGCTGGGGGAGGGCAGAGAACTCAGACCAGAGGATTTAGGGGCCATATAGCCAATGCTGAGAAGTGGGAGTGGGAGACTGAACAGGGAAGTAGGTTGTCCTTGGGACAGCTGGTTCTCTTGGATGTAGATGATCATGGGCTGGAGCTCCAAAAACAGATGATACTTGCTCTTTGTCAGTCTCCTCTGGGCCTTTCCCTGCCTCAGGTTCTGAAAGTCTTTTGCATCATGCTCCCCTGGCTCAGCTGGATGAGAGGCAGAGGCTGTAGCCTGAGCCTATGGGGGTGGGAAGCTCCTAATACACCCTGGTTTCCCTATCCAGCTAAATGGGAAGAGCTTGACCAAAGGGTGCAGGTCTCTTGGAGGACGGGCACTGGGAGGGCTTTTTTTTTTCCCCACTGCTCACTCTTTGCTTATAAAGCAGCACAACAGAATTCAGAATCTATTCTAACCTGTTCTGTAGTGTCCAATTTCCAAGCCCTCACGAAAGAAGTCTGAACAAACAGGGACAACGGGACCACATACTTTTGTAGAGAAAAGAAACTGTTCAGGGGAGCCTGGTTCCCTGAATGATTTGTGGACAAAAGTTAGCTGTGGAAGGATGACCATTTAACCCCAGAGGCATAGAACTCCAGCCCCGTAGGCCAGGAACCAGCTGAGCCCCCATCCTTCTCCTCATCGGACTTATCGCTTTCATCCTCACCACTGGATGCCCCGTAGGTTGTCCCCTGTGAGTGAGCAAGGTCCTGCTGGGGTTGCCTCCGCCCTTCCTCCTCTGGTTCCCCCTCCTCTTCTTTCCGCTTCTCTGCCACCAGCTCCCGATAGCAGAGGCCACAGACCCGAAGGGGCTTGGATGAGAGGCGGGGCATGAGGAAGCGTTCCCGGGAGCAGTCCCCACAGACTACGAAGCCACACTTGCGGCAGTGATGCCGCCGGGTGAGGGCGGAGAACTTGGTCTGGGTGCAGCGCATACATATGTCCGTGGCTTTGTCTGGTATCCAGGGAGCAGCATGCTCGGTGGTGGGGGGGCGGCCTGTGGCCCTCAGCTGGCGCCTCACACACTCCTCGATGTGCCTGATCCACTCCTCACGCTCGGTGACAGAAGCAGCTGACACCACAAACGATTTCTTGGAAGTCTTGATCATCCAGCGGTTCTTGGCATTCCAGGTGCTGGGCAGGGTCTCCAGGGTCACCTCCTCCAGAGGGATGATGTGCTGGCTGCTATACTTGCGTTTGTTGATCACGATGCTGCCATAGACCAGAATGTCATTGAAGAGGAAGAAGATTCGTGGCTTGGCCTTTTTGCGGCACTCTTTAGTCAGGATGCCCTCACCAAGGAGCACCCGACCAGGTAATGCCAGAGGCTGCCCTGATGCTCCAAAGCAACTCTCCACGGCTGCGATTCTCTGGCTGTTGATCTCTGTGTTCACCAAGTGGTCCACCATCTTCTCAATCTTCCCTAGGCATAGGTGAAGAAAATAAGAGAAAAAAACAACAACTAGTCAGTATTGTAGCAATAGCCCAGGTACCATGTCAGCGTCAATGTGAACAATAAATCAGGCCACAAGCATTTATTGAATACCTATAATGTATCAGGCACAGTCCCAGGTACCAGCATGAATGCTGAATGAGTGCTCACTGGGTATAGGATACGACTTCCAGGATGCCTTCAATGGTTAGCTCATTAGAGCATGATGGTACCATATGGCTCTCTAGGGGGCATTTCATTCATTCAACAGTTGTTTAGTTAGCAACTACAACTTACAAAACCATATGCAAGGTAGAGGACACAATGATGTAAAAGCGGAATAGGACTGCTAGTACCTAAGTCCATTCATTCATCCACTTGCACATTCAACAAATTTAACTACTTTATGTGAGTTGGGTTTGTCTTTCAACCTAGATTGTAAATCCTCTGAGACTAGTATCTATGCCCTCTTCTTCTGTGTACACTTTATATATGTAGTTGAATATACATAGTTATTTGTATATTATCTTTCCCATTAGAATGTGAGCTCCTCAAAGGAAGAGATCATATTTTTTTGCCTTTTTTTTTTGTATCCCTCACACTTAGCATAATGCTTGGCACATAGTAAACATTTAATAAATACTTGTTGACTGAGTGTATCCCCTTCAACACTGGAGATACAGAATTACAAAAGACATCAAAAACCATCCAGATGAAACAATGAACAACTTTAGCAAAGTTGCAGGATATAAACTCACATGAATCATCAGCATTTCTATTTATTACCAACAAAGTCCAGCAGGAAGAGATACAAAGAAAAATACCATTTAAAATAATCATAGACAACGTAAAATCCTCGGGAGTCTACATGCCAAGACAAATCCAGGAACTATATGGACACAATTACAAAATACTCACTACACAAATAAAGACAGTTTTAAACAACTGGAGAAATGAATCATGAAATCCACTATCACTGAAAGATAAAAAAAAAATGCTGGAGATGCAGAGTGTAATTGAGAGTCATATGGTGGGTGTAAATAGACTGCAGCCTGTTGCCAGTGATGATCTGTGTGCAAGAAGTTCTGTAAAAGATAGCATACAAAATACATATGATTGGATAAGGGTGTAGGCTGATCACTTAACAAGCACAAGGGCTTGTGGGTAGGCCAAAGCAATATAATAAACATGATAATTCTATCTAAATTAATTTACTTCTTTAGTGCCATACCAATCAAACTACCAAAGAATTATTTTATAAGCCTAGGAAAAATAATGACAAAATTCATCTGGAAGTATAAAAGATCAAGAATATCAAGGGAATCAATGAAAAAAAAATTGCGAAAGAAGGAAGATTTCAAATTATAGTACAAAATGGTAATCATCAAAACAATTTGGTACTGGCTAAGAAATAGAGTGGTGGATCAGTGGAATAAATTAGGTACACAATACACAGGAGTAAATGATAATAGTAAATCTAGTGTTTGATAAACCCAAAGATCCAAGCTTTTGGGGTAAGAACTCAACATGTGACAAAAATTGCTGGGAAAACGGAAAGCAGTTTGGCAGAAATGAGGCATAGACCAACATCTCATGCTGAATACCAAGATAAGGTCAAAAGGGATAAATGATTTAGACATAAGGGGTGATATCACAAGTAAATGTGGGAAACATGGAAAATTTTACCTATCAGATCTAAAGCCAAGATTAAAAGGAAAGGAGGAAATTGGGAAAATATATTTTCAGCAAGTTTCTCTGATTGAGGCCTCATTTCTCAAATAAAAAGGGAACTGAGCCAAATTTATAAAAATAAGAACCATTGCGTGATTGGTAAATGGTCAAAGGATATGAACAGGCAGTTTTCGGAAGAAGAAATCAAAGCTATCGATAATTATGTGGAAAAAAATGCTTTAAATCACTATTAATTAGAGAAATGCAAATTAAGATAACTCTGAGGTACCACCTCACACCTAACAAATTGGCTAACATGATAGAAAATGAAAATGACAAATGTTGGAAGGATGTGGAAAAATTGGATCACTAATGCACTATTGGTGGAGTTGTGAATGAATTTGACCATTCTGGAAAACAATTTGGAGCTATACCCAAAGGGCTATAAAACTGTGCATATCCTTTGAGTTAGCAATACTACTACCAGGTCTGTTTTGCAAAGAGATAAAGGAAAAAGGAAAAGAACCTGTATGTACAAAAATATTTATAGCAGCTTTCTTGTGGTGGCAAAGAATTGGAAATTGAGGCGATGCCCATTAATTGGGGAATGGCTGAACAAGTTGTGGTGTATAATTGTGATTGAATACTATTGTGCTCTAAGAAATGACCTTTCTTCACATTTTTTCACTGATTTCCTTGATATTCTTGACCTTTTATTCTTCCAGATGAATTTTGTTATTATGTTTTTGGGTAGTTTTAGAAAAACCTGAGAAGACTTATATGAACTGATGCAAAGTGAATTGAACATAACCAGGAAAACATTGTACACAGTAACAGCAATATTGTAATGATGATCAGCTGTGAAAGACTTAGCTTCTCTGATGGATAAATACTATGATCCAAGATAATTCCATAGGATTCTTGATGAATAATGCTATTCACCTCTAGAGAGACAACTGAAGTCTGATTGCAGATTGAAGCATAATTTTTTCACTTTATTTTTCTTGTTTCTCTTTTTGCAACATAGCTAATATGTAAATGTTTTCCATGATTTCACATGTATAATTGATATCTTATTGCTTGCCTTCTCAATGGGCAAAGGAAATAAGAAAAAAAGAGTACTAAAAATAAATAAATAAATAATGATTTTTTTTTTAAAAAGGTCATCTAGTCTAATACATATCTGAAAAAGGATCCTATCTATAAGAAGCAGCCATCTAGCTTTTGCATGAGAAGGGATTCACTACCTTCTGAGACAGTTCATTAAGCACTTGGATAGTCCTCATTGTTAGGAAGCTTTTCCTTCCATCAAGCCTAAATCCACTTTTCTGACAGATCTATTCTGTTTTTCATGTGTCTATTCTTACAGTGATCTGGCCTAATTGGATCCCATGACAAGCTTTCTGCAAACTCATTTTTCCCTTCACCTTTATTTGCTGTTTTATGAGGTTAATACAATTAATAATAAGTAGAAGACACACACAGTACTAGCCCTTAAAGTGTCATGGGGAGATACTGGAGATAAAATTAAGTACAGCTCCTCGGGGAGCCAAGCAGAACAAAGCTAATCCTCTTCAACAAAGGTAGTCCTTCTATTACTTGAAGGCAAGTAACACACTCCCTTTGCCTTCTTCCCCCCACCCCATTCTTCTTTTCTCCAAGCTAAATATCCCCAGTTCCTCCAGCTGATCCTCTAATGCCCTAATCTTGAAGCCCTCCACCATCCTGGCTGCCCTCATCTGGAGACTCCAATTCATCCAATTTGACAAGCATTTATTAAGTACCTACTGTGTGCAAGTCACTGTGCTAAGTGCTGAATTCTGCTAGTTGTGTAAGTTTGTAGAGGGAGAGGGGACAATGTGTGAACAACTAAGTACATACTTAAAAATCTGAAGAGGGAGTGAGAGTAATACTTAAAGGGATCAGTATTACCTTCTTACAGGGATTCCAAGAGACAGAGGTGAGGGAGTACATTCCAGGCATAGGGAGTGGGGAGAGCAGTCTGTGAAAGGGCATGGAGATGGAAGATGGCACGTTGGGTTTGGGGAACAGCAAAGGCCAGAATGGCTGGAATGTAGAATGTCTGGAAGGGAGTTGTATAAATTAGCCTGGAAAGGTAGGCTGAAGCCAGATTGGGAGGGATTTTTAATGTCAAGCTGAGGAATTTGTGTGTTATCCTGGAGAAAATGGGAAGCCTTTGAGCATGACTTGAGCAGGTCTGTGACACAGTCTGATAGAAATTTTAGGAAAATTATTTTGGCAGCTGTGTGAAGGACAGATTTGAAATGGAAGAGATTGGAAAGTGGACATCAGTCAGGTGGCTGAGGAAATAGTTCAGGTGAGAGATGGTTAGGGACTGAATACCAATGGTAGTTGTGAGAATAGAGAGGAGATGGATGGTAGAAAAAATGTTATGGAAGCAGAAACTTGACATATGAGATGGCTTGTTAGAGGGCCTTCAAGTCTACATTTTGATTCTCTAAATCAAATGCTTTTTAAAAAATCAACAGATAACAGCTATATGAACACAATAAATAATAAACTTGCCAACTTATTGGATATGAATTAGCTAGAGGGTGCAGTGAATAGAGATCTGAACTTGGAGTCAGGAACACTTGAGTTCAAATCCTGCCTCTGACACTTATGAGCTACATGACTCTGGGCAAGTCAATTAACCTCTCTCAGCCACAGTTTCCTCATCTGTAAAATGGGGATAAATAATAGCACCTACCTCACAGAGCTATTATAAAGATAAAACAAGCTTTAAAGTGTTGTCATTGTTACTGTCATTATTAGTGTGGGAAAGAGAGAGCTGAGGAACAGGCTAAGCTTTCCAAACCCAGGTGACCAGAAGAACAGTGATGCTTTCTATAGAAACAGGGAAGTTTGGAGGAGGAGAGTGGAGTTGAAGGAGAATATACTAAGTTCTTTTTTTGATATGGTGAGTTTCAAATACCTATGAGACATACAATTGGAGATGCCCAGAAGGGGGTAGAACATAGGATAATGCAGGACCAGGAGGCAAGAGCTAAGGCTCTCTATACAGAGTTGGGAGTCATCTTCACGGAGATGGGCATTGAATGCATGGGAGCAGATGCAAGCACTGAGACAAGGACATGGAAAAAGAAGAGGAGAGGTGGGGGATGCCAGTGTTAACAATGTCCTTCCTTCTTAGGATGTGGTGCCCAGAACTGAACACAATGCTCTATCCGGGATCTGACTGAGGCCGGGTACAGAGTGAATAGAATCTCCCCAGTCTTGGACACAATGTTTCCCTTCATGTGGCCTAAGATTGCACAAGCATTTTTTTTTTTGGTGGCTAGGCACTCCATTGACTTATGTTGAGCTTTCAACCCACTCAGAACTCTGTATTGTTTTTCAGATGAATTTCTTTCTGATGTTGCCTCCTCTATCTTGTACTTGGGTTCAAAAACAACAACTTAGCAAGTATAAGGCTGCCTTAATCCAGTTCATCTCAGCTTTCTCCCTAGTACACTTCAAGGCAAGGACGACTTGTCCCTTACTTATTACTCATTGTATTACCTCATAAAACATCAAGTAATGGTGGACAGAAAAACAAATTTGCAGAAAGCTTGTTATAAGACCCAATTAGGCCAGATTATCATAAGAGCATTTAAAGATATAACTGGAAGGAGGAGAACAGATGAATAAAAAATGGAATATGTGTCAACATTTCTATAAGAAACTAAGAAATTGTTCTCTTCATTGAAGGAAACGGAACAATCACTTTTTGGGATGGTAACATTTCAGGCCCCAATGTGCTATATTAGGAGGTGGAAATGGCACCAAAGAAAAGAAAAACAGCTAGACCAATCACACCTGGAAAAAATCTGTGTTGGAGGCACCATGTTTGAGGGGGACTGAGGAAATCTCAAGATAGCTAAGAGAGGAGAAAATGATAAATGATTGGAAGAAAAATCATAGATGGCTTTATTCTCTCTTTTTAAAAAGTGTACCAAGAGAATAACAGTAAATTGTTAAAGTATGCCTACTCCTCATCTCTATAAAATCTTTATGAGAATAACACACACACACATATTGAAGGTATCAGTGACGAAACTATGAGAAGGAAACAAGAAAGCTTTCACTCTTCAGTAGACCACATCTTTACAGTTTTGCAATTTGAAGAAAGGTTTACACTGTTGACTGAAAGGTGCAGAGAAAACAAAATTCTACTGTGTTTTTTGTTTGTTAGTCTTGAAAAAGCATTTAATTTGGTAGGAAAAAATCTAGTCTTATGGGCACCCCTCCAACATAATGTCTTCCCTGCATAAGTTAAGCTAATACAAGATTTCTTGACAGATGTAGCCAAAGAAGTAACTATTCAACAATTCTCTAAATAGCAATACTAATACAATCAGTATTTCAATGGTTTCTATGGCCTTGATGATATCGATATTTCCTCCAGCCCTTCAGATCCAGATACAAAGATCTTGGCATTTCGCCACCCAGACCAAGCCTTGCCATGAGATCACTTGGGACTGGCTCAGGTGTTAAGCCTCCTTCCTCAATTCCCCACCCATCAGAGCATACCCTCTCTTGCTGCTGAGGGGGGAGAGTTGAAGGCTGCCCATAAAAACACCTTCTTTCCTTGATCGCATATTCTGATTCCTCAAACTCATCTATCTCCCCCTCCCCCTTTGTCCCCATTCCCTTCCATCATACTCTCTGAAAGCCATTTCATTATTAACAAACCTCCCTTCAGATCAGACTTCTTCCTTTTAGTTCCTTCCATCTTTTTGACATCACAGAAAGTTGGCTCCTCCCAGGAACACTGCATCTCTGGCCACTGTCTCCTAATACTGGATTCAACTTCTCTGATTCTCCTCCCCCACAATACTCTGAGTCACATGGAAAAGTAGACGAACTCCTTGCTCCTCCAATGACTTCCAGATCCATCCCCTTCAGCCATTGCTCAACCATCTCTCCTGCTTGGAGGTTCATTCTTTCTAGCTAAATCACCCTGGCAATATCCAAGTGGGGGTTATCTATTGGCCCCTAGGTCATTCCTTCTCAGTTCCAAGGAGTTTAGTTCCTAGCTCACAGTCTTTATTTACATTCCAACCCCTGACCTTATGCTTAGGGTTTTCAGTATACAAACATCCTGATTTCCCAGTTCATCATCCTCCCTAACTCCCACAGTGGAGGTTGCGGGGCATATTCTTGATCTCAGCAAACACAAATGCTACACCTCCACCAGCCAGAACCTCTTCTAAATCTATTCCTTGTCCTCACTTCAACCTCCGGTCACTCTACTCGTCCTAGTTTTCCCTATCCATCACCCCTGTTCTGTTCTCACTTTTTTCCTTTTGCAATTTTAACATCATAGTTAACCATTTTAACCTTATACTCTTGTCTACCCTTAGAGTCCTTGATTCATAATCAATCAATCAATAAACATTTATTAATTACCAACTATAGGCCAGACACTATGCTAAGTGCTGGGGATACAAAAAGAGGCAGAAGACAGTCCCTGATCTCAAGGAGCTTAGAATCTAATGGGGGAGAAAACATAAAAGCTCATACATACAAAGTAAGCTATATACTTAAAAATAATGAACAGATGAAAGGCACTAAAATTAGGAGGGGTCAGGAAAGGTTTCCTGTAAGGTAAGAGGGTAAGATTTTAGCTGGGACTTAAAAGAAGCTGGGAAGATCAATAATCAGAGCAGAGAAGAGCTTTCTAAGCATGGGGGATTCTTGTCACCATTCATGTCTTTCTAAACCCCAAGCCTGGTTTACATCTACCATCCAGGTTCTCTAATCCCAATCACATACTACTCAACATTATATGACTGGAAGAAATCACAGAACTGCCAGGCATTGTAACACATACCTGTAATCCCTGACACCAGGGAGGCTGAGGATGGTGGATTGCTTGAGTTGGAAAGTTCTGAGCTGCAGTTGGGCCAAAGCTAAACAAGTGTCCTCACTAAGTCTGGAACCAATATGGTGAACCTCTGGAAGCAGAGGCCACCAGCCCTTCTAAGTAGGGGGTGAACCGGCCCAGGCTGGAAACAGAGCATCCTAGTTAAAACTTCTATGCCAATTAGTACTGAGGTCAGGCCTGTGAATGGCCACTGCACTTTCCATATGGAAGAGAAAAGGAGACCTAGTCTCAAAAAAAAAAGTCACAGAACTGTACTGAGTCCACTACCAACTGACGTGACTTAATGTCCAGATACATCTTACCCTCTAACTCTTGCCTGATTGACTATCTCACTTCTCATAGTATCTGTTTCAAGCCCTCTTTTTTTTCTTCACACTGTCTACTCCACTTCAACCCCTTCCTTTCAGAGGACTTCATCCCTACTTTGATGAGAAACTTGAAGTAGTCATGAACTTTTTCTTCTCCCCAATTCTATTCTTCAACACCTCTCAACATTATTCCCTATTTTCTACTGCTTTGCACCAGTCTCATAGGAAGATGTGGCCTTTTCCCTTCCCAGAGTCAACCCTTTTACTTAGTCCCTTGGTTCTATCCCCTCCCATCTTGTCCATCTTGATCATTCCTTTTTCTAATATTCAGTTTCCCTTTATTCAATGGCTCCATTGCTGTTGCTTATAAACATACCCAAATCTCTTCCATCCTTGAAAAAAAAGCCCTTCACTTGATGCTACATGCCCCACCCCACTCCACCTATCATTTTATCTTTCTCCTCTCTTTCACAGTCAAACTCTTAATAAAAGCAACCTACACTCATTGCCTTAATGTTCTCACCTCCCAACGCCTTGCAACTTAGTTTCTGACCCAACCACTCAACTAAAACTGCCAATTCTCTCTTAATGGCTAAATCCAGTGGCTCAATTTTTGTTTTTGTCCAGTTCTAATCTCCTTAACCTCACTAAAGCTGTTACTTTTCTTGGATACTCTCTCTTTTCTTTGTTTTCATGGCACTGTTCTCTCCTGTTCTCCTATATGCCTGCCCCTTCTTAGGTCTCTTTGCTGGATACATTTATAAATACAGCATAAATATAAAGTGAATAAACATGGATAGTATTTTGTAGTAGTTAAAAATATGAGGTAGTTGAGGTGGGGCACTAGCAGTTGAATGGATCAGGGAAAGCTTCCATGCAGAAGATGGTGTTTGACTTGCATCTGAAAGGAAAAATAATGGACTCTGTGAGGCAGATATGAGGAGATAGTGCATCCCAGAAACATGGGATGGGCAGAGCAAAGGACCAGATATGGAAGATGGAATGTTATGTGTGAGGAACAGAGAGAGAAGGTCAGTTTGGCTGGATCCCAGAGTAAAGGAAGGAGAACACTATTTAGTGAGGGTGGAAAGATAAGTTGGGGCCACATTGGGTATGGCTTTAAAAGCTAAACAGAGGAGTATCTAGAGGCAATAGGGAGCCATTAGAGTTGATCGGGTCACATTTGTGCATAAGGAAAATTACTTTGACAGCAGTGTGTAAGATGGATTGGAGTGATGAGAAACTTGAGGCATGGAGACTAATCAGGAGACCATTGCAGTAATCTAGGTGAGTGGTGAGAAGGTCTTGAACTAAGGTGGCAGCTGTGTGGACAGAAGGGGTCAGATGCAAGAGATGCTGTGGAGGTAGAAACAATTTGAAAGAATTTGAATATATGGTATGAGGGAGAGTGAGGAGTTGATGCTAATGTTAAGATTAGAAACCTGGGAGACTGGAAGAATGTACCTCAACAGAAATGGGGAGGCTTGGAAGAGAGGAAGAAAGCTAATGATTGCATACAGTAGGCGAGGTAGAAGAAACACTACGGAATCACTCCAAGTTTGTGAACCAGATGAGTAGAAGGAGTGGGGCTAGGCGTGGGAAAGATGATAATAATACAGCCTTTACGATCTTGGAAACATAGAGTTAGTTTTGGGTGCCTACAAGACTTCTGGTTGGAGATATATAGCAAGCAGTTGGTGGAGTGGGCCTAGAGCTCAGAAGAAAGAACAGGGTTGGATATGCAGGTCTGGGAGTCATTTGCCTAGAGCAGATAATTGGAGCTGGCATTGTGCTGATTGTACCAGGCCCCAGTACACTCCAGAGCCTCTTTAAAGGATTCAGCTTAGTAATTCACACAGTAAAAACCAAGTGGGTGAAGAATGCTTATTGTCCACATCACGATATATAATTGGATGGACTAACCATAGCGTTAGTCCATCAGGATACATATCTTGGACACACACAACAGAAGGATAATTAGCTGGGACCAGAACTGAACAGAAGAAAGGAGGCTAGATTGCATTTGGGAAATTAGGCAGTGCTTTCAATGATCCCAAGCTGTTCCTTGAAACAAAAAAAAACTTTTTAATCCCAATATTTTTTCCAATGATGGATGTGAATCATGGAATGCCACTATCACTGAAAGATAAAAAAATATGCTGGAGATACAGAGTGTAATAGAGAGTCATATGGTGGGTGTAAATAGACTGCAGCCAGTGCTGATCTGTGGGCAAGCAGTCATGTAAAAGATAGCATACAGAACACATATGACTGGATAAAGGTATAGGCTGATCATTTAACAAGCACAAGGGCTAACAGGGGGATAGTCCAGTACAAATGGTACTCACATGATGTAAAAAGACCTGGAGAAGGGCCTTCTATACATTGGATGGCTCCTTTCCCTCTCCCCTGCCCCAACCATGAAGAATTTATGGGAAAATATGGCCAAGAGTCATGAAGGAGGAAGGGCTAGGGATGGATTGTAATGAGCACAGTTGGAGGAAGTACCCACATTGATGAGATCACAGAACCATGAAATGACTGAAATAATAGGTAACATTATTGGCAAAGAAGATAAAAAAGGAAAATGTTGATTGCAGGAAGGAAGGGGGAGGACAGGCATCCCAGTCTGTCAGGAGGACTGGCTTTACTGGTGATGGAGCTGTGAATTGGTCCAATTGTTCTGGAAATCAATTTGGGATTAAATTCTCCCCCCTCCCAATCACTAAATTGTGTATACCCTTTGATCCAATAATAGCACTACCAGGCATATGCACCAAGGGGATCAAAGACAGAAGGAAAGTGCCAACACGTACCAAAATATCAATAGCAGTACTTCTTAGTATAGCAAAGAAATGGAAACAAAGTGGATGCCCATCCATGTGGGAGTGGCTAAGCATATTACAGTATGTGAAAGTAATACAAAGTTATTGTACCATAAGAAACGACAAAAGGGACTGATTTGGACTGGCAAAATTTGCATGAATTGATGAAGAATGAAGTACGCAGAACCAGGAGAACAATTTATACAATGATTTTGAGAATGAAAAAGAAAATAACTTTGAAAGACTTAAGGACTGTGATCAATACAATGACCAATAATGGCTCAATAATAAGGCATGCTTCCTACTTCTTGAAAAAGAGATGATGGACTGAAGCATGATATACATTTTCAGGCACTGTCAATGTGCAAATTTATTTTTCTAGAATATACTTAATGAAGTACAGGAAATCTTGGGGGGGGGTAGAGGAAACACTGTGGAAGGAGTGGGAGAAAGCAAAAAAAAGGAAGAAAAGAAAGAAAAATATATCAATAAAACATTTAAAAATACAGAGTTAGAACGAAATTCAGAATACCTGTCCTATATATAATTAATTAAAAACTGTATATAATAGCAATTCAGTTTCACAGTTTCTCTTTCTGTTCTTTGTATAATGAAAGGTTGATGATATTTGTTAAATTCATAATAAAAAGTATCACAACATACTTATATAGCACTTTAAAGTTTACAAAGTATTTTACTCGTAACAGCTCAGTGAGGTTGTTAGTTTCATACTAGCAGACTGACATTCAGAAAGGAAAAGTGATTTGTCTATGGCCATATAGCTAATATGTAAATACATAATATGAGCCAAGATTTTAACCTACTCTATCTTATTTCCAACTCTAGGCTTTCTCCACTATATTATATCAATCAATCAGTCAATTAACAAGCATTCATTAAACAACTACTTTGTGCTGGCCAATGTGCTAGAAGCTGGGGTGACACAAAGACAAAAAAAAGTGAAAGGATCTCTCAAGGAATTTACATTCTATCAATGAATTCTTTTTCCATTTGTATCCCACTCCTCACCCCACCCCCACCTTCAAATACCTAAGGCTCTGCAAAATCTCCCCATTTGGATTTTTATTGCCAAGACTATCAGCCACAACCAGTTCGCCAACATTTCAATCTGGGAAATGATCTTTGGGAACCAGTTATGTTTTAGAAAGAACTAATTTACACCTCAGGTATCCTGTGACATACAGAACAGATGAATTTGAAACAAGTTGGCTGTAAAACAAAATTCTGTATAGCAAACCTCACTTTCTTAGAAACTTCCTTTGAAAGTGTGAGGTGAGCTCCCCAGGGGCAGCAGCAAATGCTTTCTTACCCATACTGACAGCTTATTCTACTAGGCAATGGGTTTCCAACTTGTCAACATGTCAAGTGGGCTTAACACCTGGAAAAGTTTTTTTTTTTTAAATTAAATTAAATTAATTTATTTTTGATGGGCTACACATACATATTAAAAGGTCAGAATGCAGCTAGGAAGATAATGACCTGGCCCTCTGGCCCTCGCTTTTAAGTGCTTGCTCAGCTTTATTTATATATCTAAAATAATTTTTGGGTCCCCCCCAAAAAACTATATGTGGTGATACCCACAAAGTTCTGTGGCATTCCCATGGCACAGTTCCCTGAAATGAGTTTGAAAGGAAGGAAGGAAACAAGCATTTATTAAGCAGGCACAATAACCCTGGGAGTTAGGTGCTAGTATTGTCCCCATTTTACAGTTGAGGAAACTGAGACAAAGGTTAAGTGACTTGCCCAGGGTCACATAGCTAGTGTCTTGAGACAGGATTTGAATTCAGGTCTTTCCGAAACCAGGCACTGTGCTCTATCCACTGCTCATCTTAGCTAGGTTTGGGGGCACAGGATCCCAAATAAGAAATTAAGGAGGGATCCCCCAAGGTATTTCTAACCCTAAGTCAGAGTGAGGACTTTGATAGGGGTTAATCTACCCTTAGAGAGGAAAAAATGGAATGTGAAAGTAATGGACTAGCATTCTAAAGAACTTAATGATTGGGTCAAAGAATCTCCCTAGGGGAAGGAAATGCCTAATTTAGCCAAGGCTAAAACTGACACACCCTTGGCTATGGGGAGAAAAGCTGTGGAGTATTCTTGTTTAGTCCAATAAATGGGTGTGTTAAGGTTTTGCTTTCTAAAAGAGTACTAGCAATAAATAAATACACTTTTTTTTTAAAGGCCTCTGTGCTTGAAGCAAAAAGAGCAGAAAGCAGAGGAAGAGAGTAGCTCCAGTAGCCTTCTACATCTCTAAGCCTGGCAGCGATCACGGGGCAGCAGGGAGCAATGCCAGGCATAGACTGCATGCCATACCCACATGTACCACGTAGATTCTGCACACCTGGCAAAGACCTCCAACTATGAAAGACATAGTGGGATCAGCAAGATGATGTCACCAGAAGACGCCATCGATCCTTCTTCCAGACTTTCCCCTCTCCAGGCCAGTATGTCAGAAGCATGACTTGCTTCTCTACTTGTGTGTCTTGGTCACGTATATTCTCTATATGGACCCACTCATGGGTGTGACCTGGTCACACACATTCCCTACAGGTGTGTGGCCACTATTCCCACTGACGGTGTTTGTATTTGTGGAAGAAAGTGCCCCAGGTCAACGGGAGAACAGCTTTATTGTTACTTTTCTTACTCCATCTCTTGACTCTGGGTATTTTCACTGGTTGTCTCTCATGCCTGGGATGCTGTCCCTCTGATTTTCCTCATTTCTTTCATGCCCAGCTAAAATCCACCCTCTACAGGAAGCCTTTCCCAATCCCTCCAAATTCTAGTGCCTTCCCTCTATTGATTATTTCCAAATTATCCTGTTGGTAGCTGTTTCTACATAGTTGTTTACATATTGTCTCCCTCATTAGACTGAGCTTCTTGAAAACTGGGACTGTCCTTCACCTTTCTTAGTATTCTCAGCACTTAGCATTTGTTCAGTCATTTTTCAGCTGTGTCTGACTCTTTGTGACCCCATCTGGAGTTTTCTTGGCAAAGATACTAGAGTAGTTTGCCATTTCCTTCTTCATCTCATTTTACAGATGAGAAACTGAGGCAA